CGATTCTCATGTTGCGTGACCTGCACATAATTGGCCCGGTCTACTCGCTCCACTCGCCGGTCTTTTGCTGGTATTGGGGTGGTATATATTTCTGATGCTGAAAAAATTGTCATGCAGAATTGTAGACCAGGCAAACGCGAGGCAACAAGGACGTTTCCTTTCGGCACTAATGAGGTTTTTTAGGCTCTAAGATACTCATAATTCAAACTAAAAGAGAGAACTCCAGCAGCATAGGCCAACTGATGGTGCATTCTGACAGCAAACGACAATGGCTGGTTTGTGCTTCTGCTTTCTTAGTTCAGTTTGCATTGGTTGGATTCATGATGACCGGAGGGGTTTTGTACGCGAAATTAATCGACGAGTTTAAAGCCTCGAGTGGCGCTACAGGTATAAAGAAGTGCTTTTTGACAGTTTGAGTCATTTAAAATGTCGATTCAGAGTATTTCAGGTACTAAAAATAGATCGATGAGTACATCTTCCCTAAAGCCTTCTAATGAAAAATATAACTTTAATCTTTAGCTGTAATGGAGTGCAATTTTGAACAACAACAGACGTGTTTATGGTCCCTTGAGGAGCTACAGATAATTTATATGAAGGAAGTTTGACTTAGTGTGCTGGGCATGGGTAGAGTCCAGACGACGATGGAATTATAGTATCCCACGATGCATTCTTCCGGAAGCATCACGCAATATCGCAGTCATGGCAGATTCCATCGTGGAATAAGGTCGTTTCTTGTCGGCTTTTTTCTCATTTGTGTCCCAGTAAAAGTAAGAAAATTGCAATATTTTGTTATTTGACATGATTATTTTGTTATTTGACATGATGTCTTCGCATCTCCAGTGTTCGGTGACCCACAACAAGGTCATCAATATTCACGATTTTTTGGATTATATGTTGAAATCTTCCAAATGTGGACCTCACGCCAGCAAAATGAAGTCCTGCCGTGAATATTGTACAGGCGAAGAAGTACCCAGAAGTACCCACATTTTGAAGACTTTTTAGCTTCACAGCGTAGCAACTGTTTTTGATCGTTTTTAGATCAGTCATGGTTTCGGTTTTCCTAGTGAACCTTATCAGTTGCCGAGTCTTATGCACCTATCAATGTAAACCCCGTGGGGGGGGGGGGGGGGGGGGGGGGAGGGGGGGGGGGGTTGAGAAGATTTAAAATTTT